AGTGCGTGCGCTCTGCTTCGGCAGCCCGGGGTTTGCAGGTTGGGATCCCCGGCGCGGACTGACACACTGCTTGTCAAGCCATGCTGTGGCGGCGTCCCATATAAAGCAGAGGAAGATGGGCACAGATATTAGCCCCAGGCCAATCTTCCTCAGCAAAAAGAGGACTGGTAATGGATGTTAGCTCAGGGCTAATCTTCCTCACCAAAAAAAAAAAAAAAAAAAAGGCATGTGGAAAACATGCTATAAACTGGATTTAAAAACAGCATTTAAAAAAAATTTCAGATCTCAGTCTTGACTATAGCATAAATAGGACAGTAGCAGCAAGTCAAGGTTAATGGACTTAGAAAATGTTGCAGAGTTCTTTGGTTAAACATCAAAGGGATAATGGAGAGCTCCTCAAAGCAATGCACCAGAACTATTTGTGGAGATTTTCAGCGATTTCCTCTGGCTGACTTTGCTTTCTGCTGGGTGGGCAGAGGAAAATGAGTCTCTCCCCCATGCCCAACCCTACAAGCAAACTCTGCAGACTTGATGACTTTCCTGTAGTAGCAGAGAGCCCGGGAGCACAAGGGAAGGGATTCAGGCTGCAGAAAGCCAAAGGAGAGGGGCCTGGTGGGGCAAGCTTGCTCAAGAAGGGACCATAAAGGTCCTTTAAAAACACAATAAACACCTCACTCAAGAGAGGGAGTATGAATAAACGTCCTTTAAAAGCAATGAAACAAACAGAGCAAACTCGTGTTGACTGGACCATTGGCTCTCCCCGCAGGTAACGCTGAGAGAGAGCAGAGCTTAATCAGAACAGATTTTGGAAAAATTTTATTGCATTTTGTTTCCATGTGGAAGCACTGACAGAAGTGAAAAGAGGCAGCATGTTTCGCTTACTTTTCTGAAAAATCACATGGCTAGATTAACTTTTTCCCTATCCAGGACTGGATTTTATAAGCCTTACCCCCCCACCCCCACCCCAAGCAAAAGCTAAAAAAGGAGGTTTGTGGTGATGATCACTTAAAAAAAATGCATGTGTAAGAGTTCACAGATAGTCAGTATTCAAATTTCTGTGATTTTTGCATTTGCCGGGCACTCCCTGTCTCCTCACCTCCCCCACTATCTTCAGGCCTTCCTCTTGCAAATGAGACTTGACACAGGAAGTGCCTCCAAAAGGAAGAGCTCTTCAGTCTCAGGGCCCTAGCCTCCGTGAATCTGCTGATTCCAGTGAATGGGATGGCTGTCTACCAACTTTGAGAAGTTTGGGGGCTGCAATGTCGCCCTCGCATCGTGGTCAGCCCCAGGCCAGGTCAACAGTCTCCCAGGTTAAAATATAGATAAGACATGGGCATGTGCCCGTTTATGGGTCTAAAATATCAGAAAGTGAACCCACTTTAGAGATTTACAAAGTGAGGAAAAACAGGTTGACGGTGGGGCTGCATGTGCTGGGGACTGTGGCTGTTTCACTCGGCATTAACACTGCTTCACTGACATCTTGCTTGGGGAGGGAGGGAGGTGGGGTGGTAGGAGAGTAAGCAGATGCAACAAAGGAAAATGCAGCTCGCCTGAAATTTTCTTCTCTTGATTGTGTAAGGCATTTTGAACCAGAAAAACTTCTTCCCTTCACACTCTTTCACATAATCAGAAGGAATGTAATTAGTGATTCAGAATACAAATAAGACCCCTTTCATCTGTCTCCCCAACCCCTTAAAGTCATTCTACGCACCGGAGCCCATAAAGTACAAGGCAGGCAATTGATTTCATGAATTAGGAGGCAAATCGCATCCACGTGGGGGATGAGGCTGCTGTGGCAAGGGCCCTTCTGGAGGATCCAGCCCTGATCCTGCCCCTCTCAGGCCTCAAGGGGTAAGCATCCGTCTTCGGTGAGGTTTTAAGTCCCATCGGGGTGCCTGCCACTGCCTCCTGGGCAGTGAGAAGTCACGGGTCCTCCTGGCTCTCCTATGCATCCCCAACCAGGCGTCCAGACGGTCCATCCACGCACCAGCGTCACGCCTCACTCAGTTAGTAGAAGTGGGCATGGCCGGAGATAGCACCCTCCACATTAGTCATGCCAGACAGACAGCAGAGAGGAAACCAGAGGCCAGAGAAGTGATTTTAAAAAGGAAAAAAGAAGAGCAGCTTCGGTCACCAAAAAATAGAAAGGATGATCTGTTAAAAATAAAACATGGGAACATTTTTTTTTCTCTGCAATGCTCAGCCATTTTATACTTGAGACATAAAAAAAAAGTTTTAGAGTAGTTGTTTTGCTTTTTCTGTTTAAACATTCATGAGAATGGATCGGACGGTAGTGCTGTGATGTGGTTTGTGTCTGAGTGGCAATGCTGGTCAGGGGTCCTTCAGACCACATACTGGTACGGGTCTGCCTTCCCTTGGTCTGGCGTGGCAAAGGGGCTGGCCCAGCCTAGAGAGAAGGGGTGGCCAAAAACGGCTTTCATGTTCATCCATTTTGTTTTTTTAGCCCATCTTCTCTCTTCCTTTTTCAATTGTTCTATTCCCTGAAAACAAGAACAATCATACTTTCAGTCAAGCATTTTATTGCTGAGGTTTTGGGGAGGGATGTTTATTAGCTTGAGGTGAATGGAGGAAATGCTTCCTTTTTAAAGCCATAAAGCTATCTACATATTACATGTTTCTTCTCTTTCTCTCATAAAAAGTGTTAAAGAAAAAAAGATCATACTTTTTTTTTGGGTGGGCTCATATTTACAAGTCCCTCCAGGAAGGGAGGGAAAAATGAGCAAATCAGCAGGCCCCTAGGCCATTATTCCTAGTAGATCCGGTGTGTTTTGTTAAGTGAAGGAGGCCATCTACACAGACCTGAGTCCTTACTGGGTTCTCAGAGGCGCCTCTGGCCTGGTGCTGGGCTGTGTGTGGAGGGCTGGGAAGGCTTTGGCGTGAGAAGCCTCAGAGCTGGTGGGAGCTCACGATCATGACAACCAATGATGGCTGTTAATTTGCCACAGCTTCAGAGGAAGTTTGAAGCTACTATGACCACTTTGCAGACAAAAAAAAAGGAACAAATCAAATGACTGCTCTGGCGCTGTCAGTCTCACCAGCCAGGGAGTCAAGAAGCCCCCTGCTTTGCAGGGCTGGCGAGGCACAACTGAGAAGGTCCAACAGGAGTGAGAGACTGTGGTGAGGGGAGAGGTCACCACAGAGGAGGAAGGAGAAAGGATTAGTATAGGTTAGAGGGGCTGCAGGGATAGACCAGTCAGCCTCAGTCACGGCAAAGGTCTTCCTAGGGCTCCTCTGGGGAGAAGCGTGACCCAAGGCCACCTCAGCACTTGTTGCAGAGCCAGCGCCATGCCCCCCACCCCCAAGTCTCACAGGAAAAATGGGGGCTGGGGGAGAAAGCTGGTCCCTCCCCTTTTCCCTTCTTCAGATGGAGCCAGTCAGCAGGCAGGGCCTGAAACACGGCCCTGCCCAGTGGGACAGGAGAGAAGCAGCCTGGCAGGAGCCCGGCCAGGGGTCTGTCTGCTGTGGTCTCTGGTGAGGTGGGGGAGTAGGGATGGGGGCTGAGGGGACAGCCCAGTCTGAGTCTCTATTCAAAGCCTAGGCATCTGGGAAGATACAGGTCAGGGGGAAGACACCCTTTCCCACGAGCATCAGGGCCCTCTGTTCCTTTCTCCTTCCCTTTCCGACACAACTCCCTTTGGGAATGGCCCTGAGGGGAAGAGCAGCTAGGGCCAGCGCCATGAGAGCTTTCCTTCTGGCTCCCCCAGAGCATGGCCTATGCAGCCTGGCAGCATCCCAACAGCAGGCGGGACCGGGCAGCCACCTCTAGGTTCCCTGCAGGTATCATGCAGAAAGGCTGGTCATATTTAATGCTTGGATACACAGCTGGATCTACACCACTGGCCACTATTTTTACAGAAATTCTTTTGCAATGATATTATTTCTTATAAAAGAAGAGAAGTTGGTGAGAGCCCCCCAACTTTCTAAACCCGTCGAGAATTCCCACAGATCCAAATGAAAGTGCCTTGGCAGCCAGACAGCATCGTCCTTCTCTTCCCTGAACGCTGATTTTCCACACCCACAGGGGAGGGGGCCTCAGCAGCAGTGGCAATGTCTCGGTCTTCCTCTGAGCCTCCATCTAAGGCTGACTACCCAAGAGGTCCCAAACCCAGCCCCCGACCCCAAAAGGTCATTAGACAATTGTTGACGGCTGCCACCTGAGGGGGACCTTGGGAAGCCAGGAGTAGTGCCAGGATAGACTCACGACCTGACGCCTCTGCTCCTCACCCCAGTGCTAAGTTCTGCCCCTTCCTTCTGGGGCCCTTTACCTGGACCCCAAAGCCAAAAAAGAAATGCCCACACACAGCCATGGATTGACCACCTTGAGGTTTCTGGACACTTTAGGAAGGTTGAGAGGTAGCAGCAGTGGCACCAGGGGAGCGGACTCCAGTCTGGCCCAGCCAGCAGGTTCGAAGCTCCCAGAGAAGGAGCTGTGAGTAGGGGGGAAGGTAGGGGTGGGGAGAAGGCAGTGGATGAGGACCACAGCTGGTGCAAGCAGAAGTGACCTAGAGGCCCGGTGAGGGCTTGCTGCCCACTGACTGCTCTGCGGGGCTCAAGGCAGGGCTGTCTCCTGACTCTGCCCTCAGGACCTAGTCATGAAGTCACCTCCTCTGGGAAGCTGACCTTGCCTATGCCACCCGGCTTAAGGCACTCTTTGTCCACCACCCTGTCTCCAGGCCTGTGGCCCCCGGATGCGAAGGGTGTCCCAGTGCCCAGCAGAATGCCTGACGCAGTGCTGTGTACAGACAGAACCATCATGAGAAGATGCAAGGATTTGTGGCAAAGGGAGCCCTTCACCAAGGCTGCTGGGCCCCATTCCTGGTGTGACCTGCCGTGCTGGCCCCAAGTGGGGAGGACTCGTGTGTGCGTGAAGATCCAGTGTCACAGCAAATAGAGGGGCCTGGCCTGCAAGCATGCCTCCCAGCCACACTGGGGCCTCCCCGACCCCAGGTGCAGAGGTGGTGGGCAGGCTGCCTGCTTACCGTCTCATCTGTGCAGATGGAGTGCACTTGGGTCCCAAACATCACTGACGTGAAAATGAGGAAGAGTAGCCCCTCAAAGCACAGCAGGATGAGGAGGATCACGGTGGTGGGTGGCGAGAAGGAGCTGCACTCTGAAAGAAAAGGAGCACATGGGGCTCATGGCCGCTGCTTGCTGCCCACCACCCAGAGCCCCCAAGGGCTCCAACTCGGCCTCCAGCAGGACTGGTTCCTCCTGAGGCCACACGTCCCTGGCCTCCAGGCCTTGGCAGGGACCATCCTGCCCCATGCCAGGCTGCACCAGTGCTCCTCAGAGGAGCCCTCCTGCTGGGGCCTCCCCTCCCGAACACGCATCACTCCTTGCTCACTGTCTCTTTCCTGGCCAGCACGTGATGTCTGTATCCTGGTGCCAGGCACAGTGCCTGGCACATGCAAGGACCCAGAAGGGACTCAGATCTGAGGCAAGAAGGCCTGAGGACACCACAGGGAGACCTTCCTCTCCTCAGAGCACAACACAGGTTGCACAGGTGGAGGGGCCTCAGTCCAATCCTGGTCTGGCCATGAGTTTTCTGGGCATTCCTGTATGAGGCATGGCCCCCTCTGTGCCACTATCTGCTGGTGAGAGGAAACGGCAGGTCTGGAGGGCCACTTGGTGGCTTTGGGATTCGAAGCTCACCAATGGGCAGTGTGACTGCTGCTCTGGTGCTGACCCAGGTGTGAGAACCCCCACGGGAAATGTCCCTCTCAGGATCATCTGCATCGCTGAGACAGTCAGTCTCCAAGGCTGGAGTCAACAGGAGCAGTGTTTTCACTCTCTTGGCCCCTCTACAAGCCCACTGTGACCTGAGGCAAGCCTTGTCCCTCCCCAGACCCCTACTCCCTCCACTCTAAAGTGGTGAGGTTTGACTAGATGTGTGGTTTTAAGCAGCAGAATCCTTTGTCTGAATAAAGTCTAAAGCAGAAACCCAACCAGAGAAAAGCAGAGGTGCTGTGGGAGACGGTGGGAGTGAGCAGGGAGGGGAGCCCCTGTTCTGGCTCTCCCCACCCAGGCAGCCTCTCAGGAAACCCCTGGGGGAACTTGGCCCCCACTGGGAGATGGCTGATGACACCAGCAGTGCAGTCTTGGCCCTGTGGTTGGCACTACTGCCCAAAGACTCTTGCCCTCACTGATAGCTGCTGCCTGTGCTTGTCAAGCCCGGGTTGTGGTTCATGTTTCTCGTTGCTCCAGTGCTCAGGCCTGTTTCCCTGGCTGGAGAGGGCCAATCCTAGAAGGCAGAGTCGGGCTTCACTGGGCTTTGGGAATTCAGGGAGTAAGTGCCCCCTGTGAGCTGCCCTGCTGGCTCCCTCACAAGAACATCAGAAGGGGAAAGGGAGGTCAGATCTGGAAACCAGCTCCCGAATCTGGGAACTCAGCACTCTATGGGTGGTATGGTAAGGAACATCTCATCTAAATGCTTTCATCTTCTCACGTTTCCCTTGGAACTTATTGCCTCCAGATGGTTTCCCTTCTTGGTTCCTTGCTGGGCAGGCCTTGGTTGGGGTGGCCCAGCAGCCTGATGGGCTGGCCCCCAGTGGCCACAGGTGTGGCAGCTGCCTGCCTGGCCTCTGGTGGGTTGCTGGGAAGGATGAGGGCTCTGAAGTCAGGCAGACAAGGTGGGGCCTGGATCCTGGCACCAACTCCTGACCTTGAGCTCTCACTAAGATCACTGATATTCTGTTCTGGCCCCATGTGTTTCCTATCCCCTGCAATGTGGAACTACCTGCTTTTTTCCTTTCTTGATATCTGCTGCTTCTACCGCACCTCCAGCTCCAGGAAGGTGGGGACGTTGCCTCCCTGCTGTGCAACCAACTTTGGAGCAGTGCCTGACCAGAAAAGAATCTGGGCCAGAGGTCAGATCTCTCAGCTTTTAGTTTTCCCCTCTGTACAGTGGGATGATTGGGAATGCATGAGAACATCTGTACAGCTCGGCCTGGCCCAGCCCGAGCACACGGGGATGCTCACTGGGTGGAAGTGTCTTGTTCCCTCCTTACCCTGGAGCTGGAGGCAGAGCCCAGTGCTGTGGCCTGTTTTCCATTCTCGCACAGCACCTGGCCCCTCCTGGGCTGGCCCCAGGAACTAGAGATCGAGTTTGGGGAGGCAGGAACCAGCTCCAGGGAATGTGGAATGACCTCCCCACTCTTCTTTAAATATCAACTCCAAGTGCCCTCATCCTTGGGAACAGCCCCCTGCCCCTTCTTACACAAGCTGGATGGCCCAACAGCTCATCCAGGGCTGGACCGTGATGGTCTTAACTTCACAAATGGCCAACTCTCAGGCGTCCACTTTGGGGACTGTCTGGCACCTTCTCAGCCTAGCTGCCACAGGAACTGGGTGCCTCAAGCCTCCTCCATCAGGAATCTTGACCAAACACAATCAAGAGCATGCAGGGAGGACCCTGGGCACTGGAGCCATCCAGGCAGGGCTGGGAAACCCCGCTCCAGACCGAGGCTTGAATCGCAGGCCCTCTTCTCAGCTGTGTGAGCTTGGGAACTTGCTCAACCTCTGTGAGCCCCAGCTTTTGTTGTCTGCAAAGTAGGGAGCATCTCTTCTACCCTGCAGGCTTGTTACAAGGTTGAAATACGGCACTGCTCAAAAAGCCCTGTGTGCCATGCCTGGCTTTAAGTGGGCATCAAGAAAACGGCCCCTGCCAGCTCCACTCCAAAGACAGAGGCATTCTGCCTCATTGATAGTCTGTGTTACTCTCATCACTGCCCATGTCTGTTAACCTGATGATGGGTGGGCGGTGTTTGCGATGATAAGATGTCCTTGTCAGACTCCACTAGCAAGTTGCCAAGACCACATCTGGAGTTGAACTGGATCCCCAGGGCCTAGCAGAATGTGTGCCCTTTCAGAATGTTCACCAAGGAACTTGCTGGTGACCCACCCAGCTATGCAGAATGGTATGATCTCCAGAAACCCACTCGTCCCCTCCCTCTTCTCCCTACTAGCTTGACCTTCCCCTCTCTGGCTTATGCCAGAACTGTGGTAGTCATGAAAATGGGGAGACATGGTGCTATGGACTGAACTGTTTCCCCCCAAAAGTTGTGTTGAAGCCCCAACTCCCAATGTGCTGGTATTTGGAGATGTGGCCTTTGGGAGGTAACGAGGATGGGATGAGGTCAGGAGGGAGAGTAGCGCCCTTATGATGAGATTAGAGCCCTTATAAGAAGAGACACCAGAGAGCTTGCTTTTCTCTCTCTGCCATGTAAGGACACAAGGAGAAGGTGGCCATCTGCAAGCCAGGAAGAGAGTCTGCACCAGGAAATGAATCTGCCGGCACCTTGCTCTTGGACTACCCAGCCTCCAGAACTGTGAGAAATAAATATTTAAGCTTACTAGTCTATGGTATTTTGTTATGGCAGCCCAAGCTGACTAATACACATGGTGTTCTCTTCCCCTAGGTGGGGTCAAGCCAGACAGAGCAGGGAGCAGGGCCAGGGAGAGTAGAAGGGGGCAGGTGCATGCTATGAACAGAGGCAGGGAAAGCCTCTTCACATCCAGTTAGGAGCTAAAGCCACCGTCCTTTTCACAGCCTGACAAGTTCTGGGGAATAATAATAGCAAGGAAATGCCCAAGAAGTCAGTAAGTAAAGGGGGAGCAAAGCTTCTAAAAGATGGTGAAATGAAAAAGGGAAAAACAGTGGATATATGATGTTCCTGCTTAAGGTGTTTGTCTCACAGATTTTACGTGTGAAAGATCCAGCCCAGCAGGTGGCCTCTCTTAATTCTTCCAGCATCAATTTAAAAACATTTATTTCTTTTAATTTTTTTAATTTTTTTTTTTTTTAAATTTATTTTTCCCCCAAAGCCCCAGTAGATAGTTGTGTGTTATAGCTGCACGTCCTTCTAGTTGCTGTATGTGGGGCGTGGCCTCAGCATGGCCAGAGAAGCAGTGCGTTGGTGCGCACCCGGGATCCGAACCCAGGCCGCCAGTAGCAGAGCATGCGCACTTAACCGCTAAGCCACGGGGCCGGCCCCTAAAAACATTTATTTCTTATTTTTATTCTGCTTTAAAATTTTATTTATTTATTTTTTTCAGCATCTATTTTTTTCCCCTCAGGATTTATGCAATCTTCTGGTTGGAGTTTCCTCCTCAGTATTTATACATTTAAATGGGATACTTCTAAAGCAGAAAGACTTTGTCTGCAATCTTAACGTAAATTGGTGATTAAGCAGTTAAAAGACAACCACCACAAAAAAACAAACAAATTAACAAAAAACCTCCATGTCCTAGCCAGAAAGTTAAACGTGGATTTCTGCAAGATTGGAACGACCTTCAATTAAGGTGCCACGTTTAGAGACATGGAAACAAAAGTTCTCTCCTGGCGTGGGTCCCACTCCCTGAAACGTGCCTCCGTGCTGGGGCCTGCATTTTCCCTGGGCACGCTCAGGCTAGGGGGTCTGTCCAACTCACTACTTTACCTGTGGAACTGACTTTAAGGGGCTGCTTTTTTTCATGAAGAGAGATTCGGGCTTCTGCTGTTTCTTCCCTGGTCAGTCCATAGGCTTGCAGGAGATCTAATAAAATGAGGTTGGCCCCTGGCACCATGATGGAAACAAAGAGCCCGCCCCCGCTGGGGTCATACCCCGCTGGAGCAGGGAGGGAAGCCCTGGCACATACTCACTTGTCCAGTCTTCTTCAAAGCAATGCAGGAAGTGGAATCCCACCATGATGAGCGCGTGCAAGGAAATGAGAGCTATGTACATCTGAAATAGGAAAGCAGTGCAGACACCATTGTTGTGAGAACCTTCTGACTATGCAGGCTCCCAGGACAGGGACGCTCAGAACCTCCCACTCAGGAACACTTAGTTAGGCTGAGGGCTGACTAGGAGGGGGCCAGAGAGGCATCTGGTGGTTTCCCCACCGGTTTCCCTGCCCCCGGCCTGGGTCTGAGGTGAGCAGCCATTCACTGGGAGTGTGTGGGACAAGAACAGAAACAAGTGCCCGTCACCAGGCGTGACCTGGGCTCTAGGTGACCTGGGCTGCCCTGGGCAGCTCCAAGCCTGCTGCTTCTCCTCACTTGAAAAGTCAGGGTGCTGACTGCCAACGGCCCCTCCAGCCCTCACACTAAACATACTCCACCTACCTGCAGCTAAGGGTGGGTTTGCAGTCATCATGAAAACTGCCTTCTTTAGCTACTTAGATTGGACACTTGGGATAGGAGCCCAGAACACAGCCCCTGCTTACAGCTAATCACCTTGAGTCCACTTCTAAACGCTCCAGTGAAGGGCTTGGGAGCAGGCACTTGTTGATCAAGGTGAGCTCTGGCCGAAAGGCGGAGGTCTACATGGCCAGGCAGTATTCTGAACACCGAGTGCTGAGTATTTTCAAAGGAACAAAGCACTCCATTGCTTCACAGAGGGTGGGGCAGAATTCGGAAACTGACTTACTGTAAACAGGACGAAGTACTTCTGGTTGTTCTCGCCAACACAGTTATTGACCCAGGGACAGTGGTGGTCCATCTTCCGAATGCACCGCTTACAAACACTGAAAGAGCCCACAAGGCAGACCTTCAGGGGTATTAGTCACGGGAGGGCCGGAAGGGAACAGAGAACCCACGCTCTAGCTCCACTCTTCAGAAATGGCCCCCTCAGGCACTACACAGTGTTTTGCTGGGTGCTTGTTGCAAGGGGCTTGGAAGGCAGGGTCGGGACCCCCAGGGTCACAGTCATTCCAAATAGGAGGACACTCATTCACCTCCAAGGCCTCTTGTCTTGTTTAACATAAAAATAGGATGGAACTAACATGGCTGAGAAAGAGGCTGCTCTCCTGAGGTAACACTGAGCTGCGAATCTGGTTTACCGAGAGGACAGAATGAAGAAGCAGTTTCAAAAACTCGACAGGACGAGATAGGATACAGAAAACAGCTGCTCCTAATTTCCCCCAAAGACCAAAAATCTGGGGCTAGGTGGAACTTCCGCCAAAGCACTGCCTTGTGCTACCAGGGAGAGTGCGGCTGACGGAAGAGAGCGCTAGACGAGTTCAGAGCGGGTCAAGTGCAGGGTGTCTCAGGGTGGCAGGAAGCCCCCCTGCAAGGACCTTTTAGCTCTCAGATAATATCCACTCAGCCAAAAAAAGCCGAAAAGTCATTTGAGCTTAAGGTTGGTCAGAAATCTCATTAATTTGCAAATTACTAACTTGTTATTGGGATCATTTTTGGACTGAGACTGTTTCAAGCTTACTTGATAGCAAACACCCTCCCCACCCCTTTTTGGACAATACAAAGTAATAATCTGAAATGAGAGGGCAAGGCTAATGGCGGCTTGAAAGCAACTACTTTCCAAAGCTCAAGTTTAGAAAGACCCATTTGCTAATAGAGGGGCTCATCAAAAATTGTTCCTTGTTCAATTCATTAAAATAAACTCCTTAACATTTATCTTAGGGGCATTATTTGTTCAAAACAGTCTGAAATACTATAAATACAAGCTTGGAAATAATATAATTAGATTTCTTTTTTGAAAGCTCCTTAGTTCAACCAACTTTTCTTTCCACTAGTTTCTATCACTAACTTGATCTCGGGTTCTTAGTAAGGTGCACAGTGGGCTACAGCAGGTGGACCCTGGAGGAAGGGTTGGCCTCAGGGCCCTGCTGACAGGAGAAGGGCTGCATCAGTTCACATCATGGTGCTTGCTGAGCTCTGGGTGACCAACTGACAGGGAGGGAAAGCATGGAGGGAGCTCTTCTGGGTGTGGAGGTGAGCTGTTCCCTGGACTCCAGGCTAGGAACACAGATCACCCTGAAGGAGGGCTCCAGGGCAAGGCCACAGCCGACTCTGGGCTGCAGGGCTCACCCACACCCCAAGGAGGAGGTGTGGCCTTTTCTCAGCATGGCATGAGCTTCAGTGGTGGGAGGCAGGCCTGGGGCTGCTGAGCTACCTTGGTCAGACTGGCTAAGCTTTGAGCCTCGGGTTCCCCATCCATAGGAAATAAGTATTGTCATAAGGAAAAAGTGAGAACAGATACTGGGCCTGGCTCAGACCAGGGTGGAGCCATACTGGTCTTCAGCCTTGCTCTTCTCCACAACTTTAAAGGGCGTCACTAACACATCTCAGGATGTGTCGGGAATGGGCACATCTCAGAGATGCTGGCCCAGCTCTAGAATCTGCTTGGGGGCCAGGAGGGCAAGGTAAGAAAGGGAGGCATGAAAGGGACATGGAGGGAAATGAAGAGAAAGTCAGGTACTAGCAACTCCATTACCTTGTCTCTATTGCTCTGTCTCTCTGTTTCTCTCTCTTTCTCTGTATGTGTGTTACCAATTTAAAAAACACATATGAATATATAATATATGTTTTAATTGGTAACACTTATTCCCAGTACACAATCATAAAAGTACAGAGAAGAAGACAGTGAAGAGTGAGCTGCTCCCTGCATCCTGGGCCTCAGCCCCCAGGCCCCACATTCCCTCCGTGGAGTCACCCACTATAGTCCATTTCTTGCATGTCTTTCCCAGGACAATCAGCTCTGGGGTTTCTTACTCCCCTCCCTGTCTGGGGACCAAATTCCTGAGGGTAATCACCTCCCTGCTCCAGGCTCTTGAGCAGTTTCTCTTCCATCTGCACTTATTTCTAAAAGGGGTTTCAAGTGGGTGCTCTGAGGCAGTGTTTGCTCAGCAACAGAGAAGCACCAAGTGGCCTGACATCTCCTGAAAGCTGCCCAAGAGTTTAAACAAGTCTCACAGCAAATCCATCCTTTGCTCTCCTCCCAGCCTCTCAGAAGAGATCAGGCCTGAAGCCCAGGAAGCTGGGGCTCACAATGGGCTAAGTCTCACTGGGCCACCCAATTAGAAAACTACTCATCCTTCAGGGAGCAGGGAGAATGAGGACAGCCCAATGGGAGCTGCAAAGAATGGTCCAGAGTGCTGGTTTCTCAGTTTCTCATTTTCAAAGACAGGAAATGCCAAGATGGCGCTTCTCCCTCTGGCTTACAGAGTTGTTCAGATGCAGGCTCCTGGGCCAGGTGGTGGGCACGTGGGTGGGGGAGGACCATCCATGCACAGGGCTGGAGGCAGTGCTCAGAGGCTGACGCATCTACGGCTCACAACACATCCAGCCTGAATGGCTCTGGGGCTGAGGCCAGGAGAGACCCAAAGCCTGGAGGTGGGTCTTTGAGTGGGTCAGTGAAGGATGCTCCAGGCCCAGGGTGGTGACTGCCCACACCCTGTCTCTCTGTTTCACCTAAGGCACCATCTGTCATGAGGAGGAAGAAAAAATGTGGGCCTCCTACCACAAGCCCTGACACCCTACTGAGAATCAGTCACCTCAGAGCCAGCCCTCTTCCCAGCCCCCTCCATGGTGGGCTCAGTGTTGTCCCCTCCCCAGACACAACGGCCAAGGCAGGCCCCCAGAGGACCCTTTCTCCACTCTTGCTCCCTGGCGAAATCTACCTTCTTCCCCAAGGCTCCTCCTTGCTCACACTTTCCTCACCTGTCCATCAGCCCTCTCCCTGCACTCCTCTCTAGCACCAATTCCACTGCGAGACGCTGCAGACTGGGGAGCTCCGGGGGCAGAGGCACGGAGGGCCTGACAACATGTTCTAAGCACACGATAACAGCCACTGGAAAGACCAAACGTCTTAAACGGAGGTATTTTTTGGTGTCCCCGCCTTTAAGGTTTCCCAGGCCCCTTCTATGTTTTTAAATCATTGTTTTAGAAGAGGGCGGCTGCTTCCCGTCCCCTCTTCCTCCAGGTTCCCTACCATCTTTCAGGCCCTAAAGCACTTCCTTCAAAACCTTGGTAGAGCCAGACAAGCTCATGGGCTCACAGGCATTCAGGTTCTTTTGCACTTATGTGTTCCCTCTCCAGAGAGGTCCAAGGGCCCTTCCTTGGTACTCAGCCCCAGAGGAGCTGGCTGAGGCCCTCCTGCCCACCCTGGGTGATGGGTCTCCATGGAAACTGCCATGTCCATAAGGGCCTTGTGCCTCTCTCTATAGCAGCACTCACCAAACTGTGTTATGGTGGACAAGTGCATCTGCCCTGCCTGGGCAGGAGGCCCCTGGGTTGGGGCCATGTCTAAGCCACCTCCACAACCCAGAGGCAAGCCCAGAGCCCCGCTTAGCAAGGGTCAGCTGAGTGAAGGCTCTGATGGGACAGAGGGGGAAAGAGCAAGCTGGGGAAACGGGCTCTACCACATCAGACTGGGATGCCCCAGGAAGGAAGAGAAAAGAAAATAGCAAGAAGGTACCAAGGGGACCATGCTCCACATATAGGTTTTCATCTCATCTCACTGGCTGTGGTTAAATTTTTAAGCAAAAAAGGCACCTACCACATCTTAGCGCCAGTTAGACACGATTTGGGTACCACAGTGCAACGTAATGGGAAGAACACTGCTCTCAGATCCCCACTTTGGGCTCTGGGCAAAGAAACATAGCTTCTCTAAACCACCCTCTGCAGGATTAGCCCCTGATCTCTCTGGGTTAGAGATAATGTATATAAAATGCTTTAAAAACAATATTAGTGCTATATAAATTTTATCAGTAACCCTAACCAAGAGAAAGATAAAATAAGAATCTGGCAGGCGACTAAGCAGTCCATGACTGTCTCAGCCTCAGTGTGTGTGTGTATGGGGGGGTGGGGAGGGGTGTGGGGCTTTGCCAAGGTCAGAGGTCTCCACCTCCTTGTGCAAGAAGAACCTAACGCACAAGCCTAACACCCTGCCGGTCCACATCAGTATAAACGGCTCCCCCAACGGGACTTCCACATGCTGCTCTGGTCTTCATGAAGAGGAGGTTCAACTCCAGGGTGACAGCAGCCTGGGGTTCCAGAGTACCTCTCCCTGGAAGGAAGACCCACCCACATACCACCAGGCTGGAAGGAACACCTACAGGTCCAAGGTCTGGGAGTATCTATCTGTGGTAACCACCAGGGCTCAGGGAATGGAGACAGTTTTAAATTCCATGGACTCTATGGGGAGGAGAGGAGCCAAACAGCTGGGCGCAAACACATGGGTGTGCACGTGCATCTTTGTCTGAGCAGGCAAGACCAACACTAACTTCCTCTAACCAGGCAGCAGGCCTCTCGTCTCAACCAGTCACAAACCCAGCTCTGTTTGGTGTGCTGGGGATTTTGCTTGTCCAAAACTATGGGTCCCCAGATGGCTTGGGGCACCACGAGCCATCACAAAGGAGCAGTTGTCAGCACACATTTCCTGAGGCAGGAACAGGCAATGCACAGGCATTTTCACTCGAGTTCATCTGAATCAGCAGCTCTTGTTTTGCTCAAGCTGATTTGTTTACTAGCACTCAAGAATACCTCCCTCGGATTATCCTGGGGAGAGAGGCAAGGAGGAGGCGGTGAGGAAAATGCCAGGCAGCGGAGGCAGCCGAGGACGCAGGGAGGCAAGAGAAAAGAACCACTGTGGTCACTGGAAAGTTCTTTGCTACAAAGTTCACACCTCCCTGTTTCTGGTTCAGCCTGTATAAACCCAGCATGCTCCCAGCGCTCATACGTTCCCCTACTAACAAATAGCTTCCACTCGTCGAGCTAGGTGACTCAGTCATTCATATTTCATCCTCACAACAAGCTAGGGAAGAACAGCCCTTTTTATGGAGGAGAAAGCTGAGGCTCACAAGGTCCCAGACTGTGGTGGGGACAGTGCTGGACCTCCAATGCTGACTTCTTCAAATTCAAGGCTGGAGCTTGCTCCTCCACACTGGGCTGCCCCGAGGAATCACAAAAGCAAGCTGCGCCTTTTCTTCAGGGTGATGCTTAGAAAACAGCTGGTCTCCTGAGCGTCAGGGTGGTGGGAAAAGACTAGACTGATGCCTCCATCTCAGACACAGGAAGCAAGCCTTGAATTAGCTTCTAAGACAGATCTCAGAAGCAAGCTGACCGAGAGACAGAAAACCCCATAGGAGACAGCAATTACCACAGGCCCCTGCCCAAACTCCTCAACCCTCACCCTCAAGAGGTAGCAACTAGTTGGGGAGGTCTTCAGATCTCTCTCTCTCTCAGACAGACAGAAAAAGATACATACAATCACCTCAATTACATGGGTCATCCCCAAACTGGAGTTCTAGTGCAAAGAGCCCCAGACTTGGAGTCAGAACCACTGGGACCCAATCCTATCTCTGGTACTCACCAGCTGTGTGATCTTGGAGCAGTCACTTAACCCCTTGGAGCCTTAATCCCTCATCTAGGGAGTCATTCCTATAGCAATACCTATCTCTGGGGGCGACCATGAGGATGAAAATAAGATGACTAATGATGAGACAGGGTGGGCTGAGGGGCCTGGGACATACTTAGGAGCTGACTGTGGAATCTGAATGCTGGAGACTGACTGCTCTCCTCCGAGAGGTGAGCGGGCAGAGAGGTCCACCCAGAAATGGCACCTTTCAGTCGCTTGGATCTCTCACAAAACCCAAATGTTTCCGACAAGGATGACCTCCTGGCATTAGGAGCCTGTTCATTCCTCCACAACCTCTCTCCACCCCACACACACCAGTCTTAAAAAGGGACCAAGCGACATGTTGGTATTTCTGTAATTGAGCATTTAAAGTTTCCTTGTAATGATAAAGCGCAATTTTTACCCAGATGTCTTCTTGTTGAGAAGACTCAAAACAACAAAGAAATCTGACAACCAAATGGGAAAAATCATCACAGATAAGATGGGGAAATGTCTTTTTTGGCTGAATTTTACAATGGTCACAACCTCTAGAAGTTTTGTTTTAAAGAAAAGCCTTCATTCAAGGACAATCCCTTCATTTCTCTGTAAAATTTAAGTGAATAGGGCCCACCTCTTAAATGGGTCAAGTACTAGACATTCACAGAATGATTTTCTAAAGCTTTGTCTCAAGCACCCTTAACAAAGTAATAAAGCTGTAAGGTAGGAAGAGCAGGAAGCCTCCCAATGTTACAGACATGGAAACAAAGGGGAGACAGTCAACATCCTACGTCAGGTGTGGCAGAGCCAAGTTTTGGGATCAGTGTCCTGAGCCCAAACCAAATGCCCTTTCCAATCTAGTGAGCTCATGGGAATCAGGAGGGAGACACAGTGGTCACTTGGTGCCTAGAGCAGGGGACGTTCAGAAGTCCTGTTGCTGATGGCACCCATGGGGGAAGTGGGTGAGGAGGTGAGGGTGAGGAGGTGAGCCTGGGGTCGCGTGTGTACCTGCAGTGGTGGGCTTGGTTGGGCACCCGCAGGTGAGTGGGTAAGTGTGTGGGGGCGAGGAGGTGAGCCCTGTGGGCATGTGTACCTGCAGTGGTGGGGGAGTGTAGGGGTAAGGAAGCAGGCTCGGGGTGTGTGTACCTGCAGTGGTGGGTGAGTGTGTGGGGGCGAGGAGGCGAGGCTTGGGGGCGTGTGTACCTGCAGTTGTGGGTGAGTGTAGGGGTAAGGAGGCAGGCTCGAGGCGTGTGTACCTGCAGTGGTGGGTGAGTGTAGGGGTGAGGAGGCGAGGCTTAGGGGCGTGTGTACCTGCAGTGGTGGGTGAGTGCGGGGGTAAGGAGGCAGGCCCGGGTGCGTGTGTACCTGCAGCGGTGGGTGAGTGTGTGGGCGTGAGGAGGCGAGCCCTGGGGGCGTGTGTACCTGCAGTGATGGGCACGGTCGGGCTTGATGCTGCAGCACTTGGGACACTTGTACACCACCTGTCCCGGCTTCAGCTGTAAACTCTCGATGAACTCTTTAGTGGCATTTCCTTTGGGCACTGCCCCCTGGAATAAAGAGGAAAGGCATCAGGGTTGGGCTGGGGGTTCCATCCATTTTGACACTCCACGCTGCAGACAGTCATTTGAAATCAGCAATTACACACACAGGGATAGGACATTTGCATCCCAACAACATGTGGACTCTGTTCAGAATTATGCCAACATCGAGGAATATTTACTGACAAAGAATTTTCCTGAGGAAAAGTGATTGATTTTCTCCACTGAACGGTTATATTGTTCCTGATGATTTTCTCTTTTCATTTTACTGAAATTGTTTTCACTGAATCCATTCTTTCCTGTGTAAATATTACAGTTGAGGATTTGACTCACCAGCTACTTTTTAAATTTCCCAGGCCCAATAGCTTTGGCCTTTGCGAATTTTCATTGGTAAGCTTCACATCTAACAGTCCAGTTTTCCCAGATCAAAATTTGCAGCACTGAATTTTGTTTAAATTGGAATCAAGTTTTATTTTATTTTATTTTTTTACCAGTACTATGGTTATGAAAGATTGGTAATCTATATTTAGTTCTTATGAATCCACAAGCAACTGTAAGCCACTGTCCTCAGATACTCAACTTGCTCTCTGACCAGAACTTCCCCTTGATTTGCTATCCCATCCTTTTAGGATGCGTGTGAATACTTTGCATTCTTATTCTAGCTGTCCACACTTGTGGTAGAGCCAACAGCAGAGCCAAAATGCCACCAGAGTCTACTTGGGCTGTGCACCCATCCAAACAGAAGGAAAACAGGCAGTGCCCAGGCCCAGGCTGGGTCTCAATAACTTATCCTCACCAGTCTGTGCTCCCGCACTCATTGCTATGGATTTGGGAATCAAACAAGGTCTCTCCCTTAGGTGGCTCCTGGTCTTTTGGACCCCTAGTAGAGGGGTTACATGCTGTAGAAGACAGTTGTGATGAGGGAACATAGGGGAGCAGCAGCCAATTAACCAGGGAAATCAGAGAAGTTTCAAGATGTGAGGTTTAAGAGTTGTCCTGAGAAATGCAGAGGTTTTCTAGGCAGACCTGAAGAAGAAAAGAGATTCTGGCCAGAGGAGGGGCACAGCAAAGGCAAAGAGGTGAGAATGAGCCTGGCATAGGGAGATGGTGAGAAAATCAGTGTGGTTGAGCCCAGGGTACGCAGTGTCAGCAGACAGGCTGGACTGATGGGCTGGGCCAGCCTGGGTAGAGTATTGAATGCCAGGTCTAAAGGCTGGCATGGGATTTTTCTTTATAGGCAGCCCAGAGCCACTAGGTAACATCAGTGCTTTAGGATGAGAATTCAGTTGCCTGTGCTGTGTGGATCAGATAAGAAGAGGGAGAGATTAAAATCCTAGAGACTAGTTAGGAGGTTACTGTTGATGTTCCAGTAAGGAAAAACCGAACTATGAGGATGGGGGAGAAGTGGAGAAGAAATTCAGAGATCTAAACAAAAAGTGTAGGGAACCAAGTTAATACTGTGGTCGTGTATTCTTGGTTATGCATTGCGGTCTACTGTGAAAATACAGCTGCCTAGACTCTAATGCAACACTACTTTATAAAAACTGTCAGGGGCAGGGCCCAGACACCTGCATTTTTAAAAAGCAGGGCTGAGAACTACTGTGCTAGACCAGGAGCTCCTTGATTAGAGTCTACCTCGTTCAGCACCAGAGCCCCTGGCCTGGAAAAGATTGATCCGTTTCCAGCAAAAAGTGAAAGAAGTAGTACAAGAGAGCAGAACAAAAAAGAAGGGAGCCAAGGATGTAACGCTGGGGGACTCCACCAGCTTTGCCCAGCTCCCAAACAAGAACCGGGCCTAGGAACAAATTTAACCAAGGAGGTGAAAGACCTATACACTGAAAACTATAAGACATTATTGAAAGAAAACAAAGACGACACAAAGAAATGGAAAGATATTCCATGCTCTTGGATTGGAAGAATAAACATAGTTAAAATGTCCATATTATGTAAAGCAGTTTACAGATTCAATGCAATTCCTATCAGAATCCCAATGCCATTCTTCAAGGAAACAGAACAAAGAATCCTAAAATTTATATGGAACAACAAAAGGCCCGGAATAGCCAAAACAATTCTAAGAAAAAAGAATCAAGTTGGAGGTATCATGCTCCTTGAATTCAAATTATACTACAAAGCTATAGTAATCAAAACAGCATGGCACTGGCAGAAAAACATACACACAGATCAATGACACAGGATCGAGAGCCCAGAAATAAAACGACACATCTATGAACAGCTAATCTTTGACAAAGGAGCCAAGAATATACAACAGAGAAAGGAAAGTCTCTTTAATAAATGGTGCTGGGAAAACTGGATAGCAATATGCAAAAGAATGAAAGTAGACCATTATCTTACACCATACACAAAAAGTAACTCAAAATGGATTAAAGACTTGAATTAAGACTCGAAATCATAAAACTGTTAGTAGAAAATATAGGCAGCACACTCTTTGACATCGGTCTTAGCTGTATCTTTTCAAATACCATGTCTACTCAGGCAAGGGAAACAAACAAACAAAATAAACAAATGGGACTACACCAGACTAAAAAGCTTCTGCACAGCAAAGGAAACCATCAACAAAATGAAAAGACAACCCACTGACTGGGAGAAAATATTTGCAAATCATATACCCGACAAGGGGTTAATTTTAAAGATTTTATTTATTTATTTTTCCCCCAAAGCCCCAGTAGATAGTTGTCTGTCATAACTGCACATCCTTCTAGTTGCTGTATGTGGGACGCGGCCTCAGCATGGCCGGAGAAGTGGTGCGTCGGGTGCGCGCCCGGGATCCGAACCCGGGCCACCAGCAGCGGAACGCGCACACTTAACCGCTAAGCCATGGGGCCGGCCCTAATTTTAAAATATATAAAGAACTCATACAACTCAACAACAAAAAAATGAACAACTTGATCAAAAAATGGACAGAGCATATGAACAGACATTTTTCCAAAGAAGATATACCGACGGCCAACAGGCACATGAAAAGATGTTCAACATCACTAATCATTAGGAAAATGCAAATCAAACCTACAATGAGATATCACTTCACACCCATCAGGATAGCTATAATTGGGGCTGGCCCGGTGGCGCAAGCGGTTAAGTGCACGCGCTCTGCTGCGGCAGCCCGGGGTTCGCCCGTTCAGATCCCGGACGTGCACCGACGCACTGCTTGGCAAGCCATGTTGTGGCAGCGTCCCATATAAAGGGGAGGAAGATGGGCACGGATGTTAGCCCAGGGCCAGTCTTCCTCGGCAAAAAAAAGAGGAAGACTGGCAGATGTTAGCACAGGGCTGATCTCACAAAAAATAATAAATAAAATAAAATTATTAAAAAAAAAAGAATAGCTATAACTAACAAGACAAGAAATAAGTGTTGGAGAGGATGTGGAGAAAAGTGAACTTGCATACATTGCTGGTGGGAATGCAAACTGGCACAGCCACTATGGAAAATAGTATGGAGATTTCCAAAAAAATTAAATAGAAATACCACATGATCTAGCTATCCCACTATTGGGTATTTATCCAAAGAACATGAAATCAACAATTCAAAGAGATTTATGCATCCTTATGTTCACTGCAGCATTATTCACATAGCCAAGATGTAGATGCAACCCAAGTGCCCATCAATGGATGAATGGATAAAGATGTGGTGTGTATATATATATATATATACGCACACACACACACACACACACACACACACCCAATGGAATACTACTCAGCCATAAAAAAGACAAAATTGTGCCATTTGTGATAACATGGATGGACCTTGAGGGTATTATACTAAGCAAAATAAGTCAGACAGAGAAAGACAAATACCGTATGATTTCACTCATATGTGGAAGATAAACACATAAATAAGGAGAACAGATTAGTGGTTACCAGAGGAGAAGGGTGTGGGCAGAGAGCAAAAGGGATAAAGGGGCACATATGTATGGTGATGGATAAAAACTAGACTACTGGTGGTGAACACCATGCAGTCTACACAGAAACTGAAATATAATAATGTACATCTGAAATTTACACAATGTTATAAGCCAACATGACCTCAATTAAAAAAAAAAAAAAAGAGCTGGGCCTGACACTGGGTCAATTCACAGCTATGGGATGGGACTCAGGGTCCACCTCTCCCCACAAGACCCCTGTGTCAGGTCCAGGTGACACCAGGCTCCACTCCTCAGTGGGCATCCACAAGATACTACAATCAGGGAAGGTAATGCAACATCAGAACAACAGAACCCGGGACTGTGCCCAAGTTCTGAAGGGGCCCAGAGCGAGTGACAGTGTGGTTTATTAGGGTGGGTAGGTAGAGATTTCAGAGCTGACAGAGCATCCCTGGTCTCCCTACAGTGGGGCTGAGGGACTATAACAGGCCAAGTGAGCGGTTCACAGGGCAGAAAGGATGAGGACTGGGTGTCAGAACCTTTCCTACAAAAGAATAATTTTGGAATGGGAAGAACCACTTAAGAAACAGAAAACGCTTTCCACTTAAGAAACAGAAAACGCTTTAAATGCTGAGAATGCAAGGGCACTGTGGTTTGGTCTTTTGCTAAGAAAGTGACTCACAGAGGATAAAGATTCCAGCTATGGAAGCCGCAAAGGCAGATCAACTAACAACTCTCTCCTAAAAGTCTATATCGTACCGAGCACTGTGGGGAGTACAAAGAAGTGATGGGATCCTGGTGGGGCAGGCAGGCACACAGATGCATAGACACAGTGAGGAGGCTGGGGACCTGGTGAAAGGCATGGCCACTGGGGCATCAGGAGCTAGGGGGAGGCAGGAGGGCTGAGGGTGGGGACCCCAGGAAGGCCAGGAGGCACTTGGGCCTGAAGGGCGATGAGGAGCCTGGTGGTGCAGGCAGGAGGTGGGCACCTGGGGGGAACAGTCCCAGCCAGAGATGGGCCTGCAGCCGGCCTGTCTAGGAAATAATGGGTGGGGAACAGCGGCATGTGTAAGGGTGTCTTCCCAGCAGTGGAGGAAAAATCCAGTACTACGATTCAATTATGGAAAGA